CCCGTCTGCCCGACGGCGGCCTCAGTGCGCCCGTCCCGTCTGCCCGACGGCGGCCTCAGTGCGCCCGTCCCGTCTGCCCGACGGCGGCCTCAGTGGGCAGGAAGCACCTCATTTGTAATCAGGCAGCACAAATGTTCCATTGTGTCAGTCCATAAGTCTCTTAAATAGCCTTCAAACATGAAATCCTTGAACGTATAAAAACAAAATCAGGTACAAATAAATCATGAGGCCTCACTGAGGTCCGTCACACTGCAGCAGTTCTTCAGTCTCAGTTCAGGGTGCCTCACTGCTAATGGACAACAGATGTGTTGAGTCAACAGTGTGTGAGATGGTAGAGAGCCTCAAAAACAGCCTAAGGGTGTCATTCATTAGTGACTTCCCCAGTACCTGTACCAGTAAAGTCATGTGCAGTTCCATCAGCGGGCTCTGTTCATTGATGCTTCTGCGGCCATAATTCCGGCATGTTCCACATTAATGTCATTGGTTACGGGCAGCAGCGCCTGTAAACCCAACGCTTTTTTTCTCCTCGTCTTCCCGTTCACCTTCATCTTCCTCACCTTCCATCTTCAGAACTTGTTCTGGTTTGGCCTGGGCTGGGCCACGGTGCTCCTCATTCCCAGCCTGATCCTCTCCGTGAGACTGGCCAAGTTCTACCGCCGGATGGACACGGAAGACGTCTACGACGAGTGAGTGCCTCCGGAGCGGAACCACAGGCCGGCTTGGGAATGGGGGACCTTCTTCATGTAAACCCTAAAATCCACTGCGTCGTCCAATTCTGCCCATCCTCTGCATCCCAGCCCAAAGTGCCCCCCAGTAACCAGCCCCCTCTCTCTCTCTCCTTCTCTCTGCTTCTCCTGGCAGTTCCTCCGTCTCTGGCACATGGCATTTCACGTTATGATAATCATTCCCTCCTCTTTCCTTCTCCTTCCTTCCCCTCCATTTCCATGCACTTTGCACTTTAATGGAAGCCGTACATTTCTCTTCACTCCATTCCCACTCTGTCCGTCAGTTTGCTTTTCGTCACCAACAAACAGCCAACGCTGATCGCTTCTTCGTAGCGTCAAAACACTTCAGAAGATTCCACCCCCATCTCCCTCATACTTAACTCTCTGATTCCCGCTTAATAAACCACGTGTTCTGTTAAGTCACAGGGCACTTGCTGTTTGGTGCTTGATTTCGCTGAAGTGTAAATGAGCTGTTTATGTACAGTAAAGGGCGCAACCTTTACTTTGTGCTGTATATTTTATATAGCTACTGTAACTGCCCCTAATACGGAGGGGTCCCTACAAAGAAAATCCATCAAACATATTTGTGTTTATAAGTTATATAAAGAATTTGTATATTACATAATAGACAATTGGGCTTTTTAATACATTGTGAATATATTCATACAATTGATTGTTCTCACAAGTCTTGTTTACATTGCATTATATGATGTGATTATATATCATATAAGATATCCCATCTTCCATTTTATTACATGTTCCATCTCTTTTAATGTTTTCCTTTCTGATAAAGTATGGAAATTGGCATTAATGGTTATCATAACGAGCCTTCACTCAGTATGCAGAGCACCATACCGATGAGCGAAATAGTTCCAGAGGTAGGACATGGGCGTGCATGCTGTTAATGCGTCCGGCCTCTTGCATGCTGTTAATGCGCCGGGCCTCTTGCATGCTGTTAATGCGTCCGGCCTCTTGCATGCTGGGAAGGAGATGTGTGCACCTGGAATGTCGCACACTTGCATGCCACTCAGGAGAATGTTCTGCATGCCAGTGCAGGGTCTCCTCGAAGGGGGCATCCAAGATGGCCACCCTCTCATGGAAGCGGAAATGGACAGGCCGCTCTTGCTGTGTCTCACATTTGTGCTTGTGACCATCTGAGCTGAACACCGACGTGTGATACGAGGAGCATCCCTGCAAATTAAAAGAGGGGCGATTCTAGGATTTTTTTAAGGTGGAGGGGCTTAAGAGGGACAAAATTCCTGCAGAGGAGCCTACCTTATCATTAGCCAATGATAGGTCTTGCATTGGTTAGTGGCAGCGGAGGGGGCACTGCGGGGGCCAATCAGCTTTCAGCTGGCACCCCCAGTATACACCCCTGAATTAACACCTTAAAAGGCTGAAGCATTTATCTGTGTGTCTTATTTCAATTATCCTCTTTAAGACCCGCAGTGCTGCATGGCTGAATCGCAGCCTTGTCGGTTAACGGTTTGCACTGTGTGACGAGACACTGCGCCGTAGCGGTGCAGAGAGGGAGGGGCTCGCCAGCGAGGCCCACATCACCTGACCTACTTCTTTATGCACCCACTAGCCCCTACCCCCGTATCCATTTGACTCCATTCCACCTGGCTTCAGTTCCTCCGTACAAGACAGGCTGGTGAGAGCAAGGTGAGTGGTGCTGGACCCAGCAAGGTACTGGCACCAGTGGGCCGGGACCCCGTGGTCTCAGCAGCTCCTGGACGGTCCCACATCTGTGCCCTTATGTCATTCCTCCTGCATGCCTCCGACTTCCTGCAGTTACAGTCTCGCTTTTCCTCTCCAGCCGTCTGCTCCATCTCTACATGCTGCTGTTTTCCCACAACCTCGCATAGTCTCCTGTTTGCCTCCTTTCACTAATGATTTAATGAGTCTAGACAGGCATTCACACAGATGACCAGCGTTTATACCAGGAGGGTATAGGGACCTGGCCCTTTCATCTCAAGCCAGTGTGGCTGCTGTAGGTTTAGAGGTCATCGGGTTTTGGACATCCAGCCTTACAGAATGAATGGAGGGTGACTGTAGCTGAAATGCAGACACACGCTATTTCACAGGTCATTCAGGAACCATCAGGAAACCACGGTGTCTGACTCATGGAGCGTTTGTAGGTCAGCCAGGAAACATTGCATGCCAGTGAAACACCGCAGTGTTTGTAGGTCAGCCAGGAAACACTGCATGCCAGTGAAACACCGCAGTGTTTGTAGGTCAGCCAGGAAACACTGCATGTCAGTGTAACACTGCAGCACTTGCAAACCTGTTAAATAAGCATGATCTGTTCTCTTTCTCTCTGGTTATTTGCCTCCCAAGTGCAATAGAAACCTGGAACTGAAGCAGATTAGACGGTAAGTCAGGTATCGCAAACGCCAAATAACAAATCATAAAGAGGGCAGAATCTAGTGCTTCATTGCTGCTTTTCTGACGTCTAGCTCAAGTACCCAGAAAAGAAGGATGTTATCTTCACAAAGTCACATGACCACCTAAGACCACGTCAACGAACGTGACCCCCTCACCTGTCCTCCTCCCCCCCCCAGCTGGCCCGGTTTGACCTTCCATCTTCCGCTTGGTCCTAAGGAGAGCTTACGGTCTGCCTTAGGTCACCAAATATTACCAAACCAATGTCTGAGATAAGACTCCAGCCGCAGAGGACTTCCCCATGGTCACCCATCAGTCATTTTTACAAATCAATTACGTCTAACTTTCAGATATAAATGTGTAAATGTTGCACACTTGCGAAAGTTTACAATTTTCTATATTGCTGTGAATGTTTGTTTTTTTAAGCCTTGTCAATATCTCCTGAACCTTTCTTTGTGTAAATGCTTTTATTTCCATACACTATGCAGGTAGCTGTTCACTGGCTTTTTAAACGTGCATCTGTAAGGGGTTAATCAAACGGCATCTTTTCCCAAGACTGAAAATGCAGCCACATTGTGTCTGAACACGCATGATATGGTACTTGACGGAAACGCGCTGAACTGCAGGCCTCTGGTGACCACAGCCGTTTGGTGATGATGTTTGTTATTCAGTAATTAACGGAGAAACAAGTTCCCAAAGACACTGAAAAAAGAATGGCTTGGTTGCATAGCAAATATGGTTTGAGTAAAATACATGAAACATTTAGCTGTTTCATAAACTATGCCGTTGACCCCCCCCACACACACACTCTGCCACAGATAAGGCAGTGTCACCATACTACGTTGTTACTCGAAACCTCTTGTTACTCAGGTCTCTCTCTGGTGCTGCTTACAATAATGTCGCTGTTTTGCTCACTACTTCAATGTTTTTTGGCACGTTGAAAACCATGACCGTAACGTCCCTCCAGAGATGCATTTCAAAGTTAATATGCCTGATTACCATGATATTTGTATAAATCTTTTTTTTTCTTCATTGTTTGCTTTTAGCCTAATTCTCCCTCTCCTTGGTCGAAATGGTTTAACTGTAAGACTGACATTAGCACTTATAGTGCTTCAGTGCCGGGACGTCTGTTGCTCTAGCTTCCCGAACCGCGGGTCTTTGGTTCGACCCCCATTGGCGCCGCCAAATAAACACGAATAAACATGATTTGTCGTTATTGTGCATGTGTGGGTTTTAAATGGTACATGGACTGCATTTATATAGCGCTTTTTTCTACTCTTATGAGTACCAAAGCGCTTTAAAATTTATGCCTCACATTCACCCATTCACGCTCACACTCACACACCGATGGCAAAGGCTGCCATGCAAGGGGCCAACCTGCACACCGGGAGCAATTTGGGGATCAGTGTCTTGCTCAAGGACACTTTGATGGGGACAGGAGCTGACCGTCATCACGGTAGCAGCAGGAATACAAGCCACGAGTCACGTAGGGGATGCAGCTGATTAGGGAGCGATCAAACCTTGCATCTTAATGACCGAAGTGAAACAGAAAGACAAAAGTGCGCATCCAATATTTAACGTGGAGGAGTTCGCCAGCACTCAAACCACACATTTGCACGGGACCCCTGGAGTTCACCAGCACTCAAACCACACATTTGCACGGGGCCCCTGGAGTTCACCACTACTCAAACCACACATTTGCACGGGGCCCCTGGACTTCACCACTACTCAAACCACATATTTGCACGGGGCCCCTGCTGGTCAGAGTCACTACACTAGACGCTAAATGAAAACGCTCCTTATTTAGGAGGTGCTGAAGCAGCATGTTCTGCTAACCAGCTAGCTACCATGACTCCACTCGCTAGCTAATTATTTAATTTTTTAAAAGCCTGAGGAGCCCAATGGGGCCCCAGGAACA